GGTTTGTTCCCGCGGGGTCACCCTCCAGGATCCTCGGTCCTGCCCGCAGACCCAGTAGAGAAAGCTGGGTGGTGGCTGCCGTTTCAGAAGCCCCTCGCGGGTGTTGCCTGCTGGCTGGACTGGGCCAGCTGCCCTCCGGGGAGACCCCAGCTGCCCCCGGCCGAACAGGTGGAGCAGTGCCCACGCCCCAGGGGAAACGCGAAGCCTGTGGTGGAGGAGCCCCTCGCACGGGACGCAGCCAGGGGAGGGCTGGAGGCACCGCCGGAAGTGAGGGCCCCCAGGGCTGGGAGGGCTGCAGGTCAGGGGCCGAAGGAACTCGGCCTTATCCCCAGGGGCGTGGGACCCATTTGTTGAACAGAGGATCCCATTTGTTGGTCCTGCACTGACAAGTGCTGTCAAAGGGTCTGAGCCCTGCAGGGGGCGCTCCTGGGCTTTCCAGCAGAGGCGGCAACAGCAGGGGGTCTCTGGAGAGAAGGGGGCGGGGGTGAAGAGACTTGGGCCAGTCTGGGAGCTGCTCCAGACGGGTCAACCTGGGAGGACCACGGGCCCACGCTCAGGTCAACACTCTGCTGTTGCTGCCTTGAAATATTTGGTAATTTATTGACGAGGGGCCTGGCGTTTTCATTGTGCGTTGGGCCCTGCAGATTATGCACCCCGTCCTAGGCCATGGTGGGACACAGGAAGGGGAGCTGGCTGGGGAGGCCCAGAGTGAGTCTGTCGGACTCAGCCCGAGGGCAAGCATAGATACACCCTGTGCACGGAGGGGTCAGGGAGAGGGAGGTGGGTGGTGGGTTGGCTCTGAGCTGTAGTGTGTGGGGTGTCTGTACCCGGCCAGCTTGCCTTCAGACCGCGTCTCTACACTTGCTTTCATCACCAGAGGACAGCCCTGCTGCTTTAGCCAGAAATTGAGTAGGTCCTTCCTGGTACCTCCCTTGTCCTTATTGATCCCAAGAATCCTAAGATGACTCGGTTCCCAGATGACACCCTGCTTCCTAAGCAGAGGAAAGACCTGGAGTGTACCGGCCAGCAAGGGGCCTGCCGAGTGCAGCTGCTGTGTTTGCCTTCTGACCCCACACCCAGGGGATGATGTACCTTTACCCCAGGAAGAGACTTCCTCTGCACTGCACAGCCATCCTCAGGGGCTCCTGGGGGCTTCCCGGCACAAACTATGGTGAGCTCCAGGTTGTCAATGTCCATCCTCCTCCTCTGACCTGTCCTCAGCTGAGAGGGACCTGCTCTCACCGAGAGGCACTGTCTGGTTCCATGAATGGGTGGTGATGGTCCCCACATGGCCCACTGGGCGCTGCCTCAGACATCTCTAGGGAGAATCAGGTCCCTATAGAGGGAACTCTGCATTTAAAATGATCTCTATTGTCCCATCATGACCCAGTTCAGCCACACAGAATTCCCTGTGCCCCATCAGTTATTTTAATCCACAAGATAGGGCCAAAGTAGCCCAGAGAATGTCCCTGACAGCAGCATT